CAGTGAAGATCGCTGGAACTGAAAATACAGAAACACAAATACAACGTGAAAGAGAAAAGGGATTATCATCAAATAACTGTGAGAGAGGATCAACAAGTTCTCCTACATCAACAATTATCATTCGAGTATTCAGGCGACACCTTTAGGAGTGTTGTACGAGCGAAAGTGTCGAACACCGTGGTGTTGGAACAAAGTGGGCGAGAAATAATTGGCTGGACTTGATATAGTTCAGCTGACGGCAGATAAGATTAATCATATTCGTGAACGAATGAAAGTATCCCAGGATCGACAAAAAATTTACGCTGATAAGAGTCATAAACCGATTGAGTTTATAATCTGTGATCGAGTGATATTGAAAGTATCACCCTGGAAAGGAGTTGTTCGTTTTGGAAATAATGATAAGTTGAGTCCAAGGTATATTGGACCATTTTCTATCCTTGAACGAGTCGAGGAAGTGGCATACAAACTAGAACTTCCTATGGAGTTGAGTGGTATTCATAATATTTTTCATGTATCAGATCTAAGGAAGTGTCTAGCAAATCCAGAAGTAGCTGTGCCACTACCAGAAATCAAAAATGATGAAAAGTTGTGTTTTGAAGAGACTCCTGAAGCCATTTCTGACTTCAAAGTAAAAACGTTGAGAAATAAATAGATTAGAGTGAAGGTTCAGTGGTGATATCATAAGGGGCTATAAGCCACCTTGGAACCCGAGACTGAGATGAGAGTAAAATATCCTCATTTGTTTACCTAGTGGAATTCCGGGACGAAATTCTTCTAAGGAGATGATATTGTAATGTTCAGTTTTAAATATATGATCAGGTTTCGAATAAATATCAATGGAAAGTTTGGGGATAAAAGTCTTATATTTGATGAAAGATGAGGGACCAAAATGGAATCATAGGTCACGTCCTTGTGATATTAAGATTTTGGTCCAATGGTTAGTTTTGGTTTTAGGGTATTCAAGAGGGGAGGGGGAGGGGGAGGGGAGGGGGAGGCGGAAACCACTGCACTGCCTCACCTCTCTTTTCCTCTTAATATGTATATAGATGATTTGGGAGAACTTTAGAAAGGTTTATGCTGGTGAGTTTTTGAGAGAAGTTTGAGATGTTTTACGTAGACCTGGATAGAGGTTCGGTTTCGGTTGATATCGTACAAGGTAAGTTTTATAAAGCTTTTGAAAAATACATGTTATTATGTTTCACGTGATTTATTTTCATATATGAAATTATGTGATGTATGGGATTTAAACTAACATGTCGAAGTATTCCGATAAGTGATGATATATATATATATATATATATATATATATATATATACATATATATATATACATACATATTAAGTTGGCTATAGTCTTCATCGCCTAACGCTATTACCAATAAGACTCGGTCATCGCCCAAAGCCTTGGCGGGGTTGAGCGGTCATCACCCATGCTTTGGCCGGATAGAATACTCATCGCCCAGGCCTCGGCCGGATAGACCTCTCATCTCCCAAGCCTTGTCCGATGAGGGAGTTCATGGTCCAATATTTTGTCAATGAGAAGGTTCATCACCCAAGCTTTGATCAATGAAATTGTTTATTGTTTTAAACGCGATAGATGATGGCGCATCCACGATAGTTGGTGGGATAACCGCAATAAATGGTGGGGCATCTGCGATAGTTAGTGGGATAACCGTGATAGTTTTAACAGTTGAGATCAAGACTGAAGTTATTAACATTTCGTTTATGGCAAGTTTAAACACGAGGGAAATCACTCACTAGACCTTTCGGTTTAACCCTCAATCGTTTTTAAAAAGTTTTATAGGTCAACTCAAATTGGAAGATAAAGGCAAAATAAAGATGTAACCGGCTGTTAGACTAGTTTTTGTTAGATCAGTTTTTGTGTTAAGATTTTTTGCTGATATGTATAGATATAACTGATCTGTTTGTATATATTGGAACCTATTATATATTACGACATATATTTAGGGATTTGGTTTTGTTGATGGTTATTACAAAGAATAATTTTGAAGTTTGGAATGATTATGACTCGGATAAAGAAATGAGTGGAAACTTCATTATTAAGGTGCGCTCAACAACCAAAATGCTACAACTTGAAATATAATTGATCATATTCCTATGCAAATGGTTAGTTAAAATGATGAATACGTCACTAGTTCATAAAGAGGATGACGTAAACGGGACCTCTGCAATAGTTTAACCACTTTTCACAAGTAGACTTTTTTTAAGGTAGCAAAGGTGTACGTGTTAAATTTCGAGGGGGCTCTGAGATATTAGAAAATACAAGGGATATCTACGAAAAAACTGAAAATAGCGCTCGAAAAAAACTTTAAAATATCTCTCAAAAGAGTAAAATTAGGCTAAAAAGACATCGAACAACTTTATGCGCCTTTGATCCACCTTAAAAGTACATTCGTTCGACAAAAAACATGGGTACAATGGGTTCATACGCTATAAAAAAATTCCAAGTGTCGTGTAAAAATATTATCATAATGCTTTA